AAGACATCAAAGGAGACAGGTCAGAGATCAAAGACATCAAAGGAGACAGGTCAGAGATCAAAGACATCAAAGGAGACAGGTCAGAGATCAGATTCTTACCTCCTTGGTGAGCGATGGATGACACGTTAATGACACGACTAGGGGCGGAGCTTTTCAGCATCGGCAGCAATAGATTTGTTAACAAAAAGTGACCCAGATGATTGACAGCCATCTGAGTCTCAAACCCATCTTCTGTGATCCACCTGGGACACATCATCACACCTGGAGACAGGTAGTCACTGAGGTTTACAGGTGAGCTCACCTAGGACACAGGCAGAGCAGACAGTAGGGCATCGAGTGCCCAGGAGGGCCACACAAAATCTGGTGCATAAAAAATCCTCAAAACAACAAGACATTTAAATCCTGTTTCAACAGCCTGTAAGAAATACAAAACTGACATATTTGCTGAAGAAAAAGATGAGTTAAACTGTGTGAAGAGGCCATTTTGTCAGACTGGTATGTTCCCCTTGAGTTACACACAGGTGAGCTGTAAGGACGGACAGAGCCTGAAGGCATGAAGATAGAAAGAGACGATGATGATGATGATGATGATGATTGTGTGTTTTGAAAGTAGGAAGAGGTTTAAAAACCACAAAGTAGTTCTTCTTAGGGCGCCCAAATGATTAGCACTGGCCCTGCACATTATTGTCACACCTGAAGTTTAAAGGTGAGCTCACCTGCGTTGTTGATCAGGATGTCCAGTCGGTCTTCACTGTCCAGGAAGTCCTTGGCGAACTGAGTCACAGAAAACATGGAGGCAAGGTCCAGGTGTCTGATGACCACATTACCATTTCCTGTTGAGCGTCGGATCTCCTCTGCAGCTTGCTCAGCCTTCCTCAGGTCCCTGCATGCCATCACCACCCGGGCTCCTGGTCAATAAAACAAACACACCTGTCCTCAGGTATCTGGGGGAGCAGTTTTGTACTGGTCTTATGTTGCTGTGTGAAGCAGCAGGGGTCAAAGGTCAGACCTGGTCTCAGAGAGGCTGGTACAGCCTGTGATTATTACTGGGATTAATGAGCTCAGTGAACCCTCAGCCTGTTCTACCAACAAACCTTTCCATGGTGAGCCACCAGGTCAGACTCTGGACACACCTGCTGACATTCACCTGTACAGGTGAGTTGGATCATCTCACCTCTGCCTGCCAGGTCTCTGCAGGTTTCTTTACCGATGCCTGTGTTCGCTCCGGTGACCAGAACTGTCTTTCCATCCAAACGGACCAAACAATGACACACCCCGCCTGCGATCCACTTCCTCAGAACCACCACACCTGCAGACAGACACATCAGCTGTTACCATAGAAACAACCACAGGTGAGCAGGAAGCTGTTTTACACAATATGCATTTAAAACCCACATTGTTACAGTAATTTCTTTTTTATTTAAAGATGTTGAGCTGACATTTGTGTTTTTCTTTTTCAAATGAAACAAAAGAGACACCACTTCCTGTTGAAAATGCCACTTCCTGTTTTAAATGTTTGAAACTTCACTTCCTGTTTGAGAATCCACCTTCTGTTTGAGACTCCACCTCCTTTTTGAGACTCCACCTCCTGTTTGAGACTCCACCTCCTGTTTGAGACTCCACCTTCTGTTTTAGGTTCCGCCTCCTGATTTAGGCTACACCTTGTGTTTGAAACTTCATTTCCTGTCTGAGACTTCACTTCCGGTTTAAAATGCCACTTCCTGTCTGAAACTCCACCTTCTGTTTGAAACTCCACCTTCTCTTTTAGGCTCCACCTCCTGTTTTAGACTCCACCTCCTGTTTTAGGCTCCACCTTCTGTTTTTGGCTCCACCTTCTGTTTGAGACTCCACCTTCTGTTTTTGGCTCCACCTCCTGTTTTAGACTCCACCTCCTGTTTTAGGCTCCACCTTCTGTTTGAGACTCCACCTTCAGTTTTAGACTCCACCTCCTGTTTTAGGCTCCACCTTCTGTTTGAGACTCCACCTCCTGTTGTAGGCTCCACCTTCTGTTTGAGACTCTACCTTCTGTTTTAGGCTCCACCTTCTGTTTGAGACTCCACCTTCTGTTTTAGGCTCCACCTCCTGTTTTAGGCCCCACCTCCTGTTTACTTTTTGTTTGTTTTTCCTGAAAAACATATGATCTAAACTGACTTCACCTGGTTCAAGATGATTAATTGATGACCAAACTGTAAACAAACAGGAATGAATTAGTCCAGGTGTAGCTCCAGGTGTAGCTCCAGGTGTAGCTCCAGGTGTAGCTCCAGGTGTATAAATGCAAAAGTAGCAGTTGTTTTGCTCTGTAGATCATGTCTGTCACATTCTAAATAATAAAAAGATGGAAGGATAAAGATCTGGATCAGAGTCTTACAGATCAGAGCGACGCCCACAGCAGCTCCACACCTCAGCAACAAACCCCCCTGCCCGTCCTCCAGGACCCCTGGTCTGGATCCACTGCTGGACCAGGGCAGCACCAGAAAGTCCCCGAGAACCGCATGCTTCATCTCTGCAGGTCAGAACAAACTGAGAGCCCAGCTGAACCGAACTGGGCCTGAGGGCACAGATTAACAGATTAAAGCAGATTATTCAACACAAAGCTGTTCTGAGACCAGCTCCAGGCTCAGGACCGGAAGGATCAGGGTCTGCTGGACTCAAACATGTCCCCTCACCACAAACTCATCAAGCACGATGCTTCAGAAAACTCATTCAAAACCTTCAAAGGATCTGCTGCTGCAGGTCAGCTGTTCTGGGTCTGCTGGTTCTGGATCTGCTGGTTCTGGATCAGGTCAGTGGACTTGTGTCCATTCTTGTCCTGTCAGACAGTGGACTTGTGTCCATTCTTGTCCTGTCAGACAGTGGACTTGTGTCCATTCTTGTCCCGT